CTATTGTCTTTCATACTCTGTACATTATTTTGTACTGACGCCCCATTGCCTAGGGGGCTGCATTCATGCATGCAGGTCCTGACAGATGACTGAGTAGACCTCCTCAGCAGCAGGATTGACTTTTATTCGGTTGGCTAGCCCCTTTCCTCCGGAGCTGCCATAGTTGGGAGGTTTGTTACCTTTTGTTGTATATATGTTTATGGGTAGGCTGGGGCCCTGTCCCGCTAATCTTTACTATTCTTAGGGGCTTGCAGACTAGTGTGTGGGTTGTATAGCTACGTTATGGCCATACTGGCCTATGTGGTTGGTTTGCTGAAGCTTGTGAGCTGTTTGATGTATTGTATTGATATATACCTGCTTTTAGTTTTGGTATAGATATCATGGTGGCCTCGACGGCCCAATCAGGACTTCTGTGCTAGTTGGCTATTTATTTATATGATCTCCTGGGAGTAGCTGTTTCTTTTATAGATCAGTTGGCAGGGGCCTTGCTGGCCGATGGCTTAGTTTTAAGCCGAGATATACTTGTTTGATTTCTTGATTGCGTGTGGCTGCCATGCGCTAGTAGCAAATGGTTCAGTAGGGTCGGCTCGGGCCTGAGTTTTGGCATTAGGAGCCAGTTGCGCCCTTGGAGTTTGGGGTGTGACATTTCCATAACTTCTTTTTCTCTTTTTTTGACACAACATAACAAGCAGTTGGCATTGTATTAGTGGAACCATCATGTTGCAATCATAGTTCTTTTATTATATTCATATCCTTAAGATCTTGTCTTGCTTGATGTGTGTCCTTAATTTTCCCATCAATATTTAATAATGTCCCCAAAATACTCTCACAAATAATTTTTTCTATGTGCATGACATCTAAATTATGCCGCAACTTCAAGCTCTTCCAGTATGGTAACTCAAATAAAATACTTCTCATAACCCGATTCAACTCTTCAGGACGACGTTTCTTTTTCTTATTATTTGAGTGTTTTCCTACTCTATAAGTACTTAATAAATCCAATTGATGTAAGACATCATCTCCTGAGAGCTCTTTTGGTTTTGATCTATTTTCTTTCTTACCATCAAATTTCTTGCTTCTTCTCCATGAGTGACTAGGTTCAAGATGCTGACGGTGACCCATGTAACAAATTTACTTCTTACCTTTTGTGAAGATGCATCTTTATTGCAAGTAGGACATGCCATGTATCCCTTTGTGCTCCATCCAGATGAATTACCTAATTCATAGGAAAAAATCATATATGGTCAGTAGTAGTTTATAACCTATACTATTACATAGAACATGCAAAATACAAGATTCTCTACAATATCAGATGTATTAAATATCAAAATTGTGTCTTGAAAAGCAATCACTTTGAAGTAACATCTACAGAAGTAGAGCCCTCAGTCTGATATCAGGCAAGAGGTGCTCAATGTGAAGCAATCCCCTCCATTGAGTGTTAGACAAGAGGTTCCCAAAAGAGGTATCACCCTCAATGAAACATTAGACAGGAAGTGCTTCACCATGAGCAACACCCTCAGTGGAGCTTATACTCAGTGAACTTCCCTGGAAAGATGTATATTATTCCCGGCCTAACAAACAAAGTGTAGCTTTTGCTCAGTGAACTCCCTGGAAAGGTATATTTTATTTCTGGTCTAACAAACAACACGGTGCTAACATAATTTGTTATAGACTAAATAATCACTTTGGGAACTTTGAATGGATGATGCAATGGAGTCATATCAATTTTAACTATGATGTGTCACATATCTCAGATCATTCTCCAATGGTGTTAAGTGTTAATAATACAAAGTAAAAATAGGAAAAGTGAAGTTTCTTTGAAACTTTTCAATGTCCAAGACGAATATATATTCTTTATGGATATTGTACAAGAGAGCTGGAAAGTAAACAAAATTGCAATTCGTTGGCGTCACAATGAAGATTGAGCAAGCACAAGTGGAATTGAATGTTGTCCATCAAGGCTAGAACAAATGGGAAGATATCACCTAGTATTTTTATTTATGTTAGAATTTGAAACTAAGACCTCATGGTGACCTACTTCAATGACCCCTAAGGTAAACTCTTGGGAGCTCTTACAATATTATATTAATAGTCTAATACATAAATAATGTAAATTATTTGACAACTAGAAAAAGTAAGTAATTTAAGAACTTACCATAAGCTGGAAAGTCATTTATGGTCCATAAAATAGCGGCATGCATCTTGAAGCACTTCCCAGTTGATGCATCAAATGTCTCTACACCATCATTCCATAACTCTTTCAACTCATCAATCAAAGGAAGCAAATATCCTTTCCTGGTTCTTGAGGACCAGGAATAAGCAATGACATTATCATAAAGTGGTCCTTCAAACATTTCCAAGGAGGAAGATTATAAGGAGTGAGAATGACAGGCCACATACTATACGATGTGCTCATGTTACCAAATGGGTTAAAACCATCAGTTGCAAGACCAAGTCTAATATTACGAGGTTCTTGTGCAAACCACTGATGATTCTTATCAAACCCTTTCCATGCTTCAGAATTTGCTGGATGCCTTAACACATTTGCCTCATCAAGATGTTTTTCTTTATGCCACCTCATGTCCACACTTGTTTTACTAGACATAAATAACCTCTGAAGTCTCGGCTTTAATGGAAAATATCGCAAGACTTTATGAGGAATCTTTTTGTCCT